TTACAATATATGCAATCTAAACGATCTAGTTTTCTTATAAGAAAACAATCAATATGTGTTTTACTATATCCATTTTATAATTGATAAGATGCTCAACTCTTTTCTTGAATAAGGTATTAGCTATTAAGAAATCATAAGCTAAAGAAAAATCTAATGTGGTTTTACCTCCTGCATTTGTCGTTTCAAACCCATGGCTATCATGAATGCTTTTAAAATATACCTCTCTACCAACATGTCCATTTAAATCTCCTCTTACAAAAACTTTTTCTTCAAGAGGTATTTTTTGTATTAATTCTTCTAAATCATTCCAAAATTTTAATTTTAAACTCATTTTCAAATATACTTGAGGAGCATAAGCACTTATAATATAAACAATCTTAGCATCAACAACAATCTTTAAAGCTATAATTCTATCTCAAATTCTATTAATTTTTATAATATCATGTAAACTCTTATCTATAATCACACCTACACAATTTCTTGCATGACTCCTACCTGAATACCATAGTTTATATGCTAAACTATCAATCTCCTTAGCCTTTCTCTCCAGTCCATTTAGTTTCCTGAATGCACATAATATTTATCTTCCTAAGAATCATAATATCTATTAATTCCATTAATTTCCTATAACTGAGCCTATATTTCAAGTTCTTATTCTAATTTTAGTTTCATGGACTAACTTCTTGCATGACTCCTATTTAACACTAACCATTGAACAATAAACTCGAGATATCTAAAACATGTACTCTTTGTAATAACTTAATCATCTAATATCACAATCCCAACAAGATTTATTACTACTAAAATTGCACTCCATGTATTCAATTATAGATCTACTAAAATGAAAGCCTTCAAACTCTAAGGTTGACCTCCATAATTCAAGTTTTCGTTCAACTTCATCTCTTATCTTATCAACAAGAAGAATATCATCACCAAAAAACATACACCATGGTACATCCTCTAGCAAATGTCTAGTAAGAACAACCATGACTAAAAAAAGGTATGGGCTTACAGCTAATCCTTGATGTAATCCAACTGAAATATGAAAATATTTGGTCAAACCACCTTGTGTATGAACACAAGTAACAACTTCTGCATACATATCCATAATGAATTAAATATAAATATTATTAACTATTTTCTTTTCTAGAACTCTCCAAAGCGCCTTAGAATTAATCATATGCTTTCGCTAAATCAATAATAATCATATGTATATCCACCTTTTCCTCTCTATATTTCTCCATCACAGCTCTCCAAAAATATAAAACTTTTATAGTAGATCTGCCCAACATGAATCCAAGTTGATTTTGATAACCACTAATATCACATTGTAACATATGCTCAATAACTCTCTTCCATAATAACTCTTACACAGTTTTAATGTATGACACATTAACTTAATTCATCTATAATTCGCACACTCTTGCGCATCACCTTTATTATCAAAAATATAAATCAAAACACTATTTTCCGCTCATCTGGCATCATTTGTCTTCAAAATAATATTGAAAAGTTTCGCAAGCGAAGAAATTCCTTCACCTCATAAGCATTCCACACCTCTAATGGAATATCACCAAGTCCAACATCTTTCTACACTTCATTTTCTTTAAAGCCTCTCTAACTTCAGTTTTGCCAATATAATGATAAAAACAAAAAAAAAAATTATTTTCATTGAGAGTGCTAAGGTCACTAAAGTCAATCGCATTCTCACAATCTTTATTGAAAAGCATAGTAAAATATCTCACTCACCTTTGTTAAATACCATCTTTTAATAAAAATATTTTTTTAACATTATCCTTAATGCATTTCACTTAAACTAAATCTTTATTTCTCATATCTCTTTCTATGGCATCTTTCACCCTTCTTGGTAACTAATCTATTATATAAATCATTAAAAGTTAAATCATTTACATCTATATAGCTTTCTTAGATTCCTTATGAGTTCCTTAATATCTTTTCCAATTTTTCAAGCTTTTATATCTAAAACAATTTTTATAAAAAAAAAAAATCTTATTTTTATATTTTTTTTTTCTTGCATATTTTGATTCCACCATCAACTATTTTTATTATTATGAGTTTTTTTCTTTTGATAAACGAGAAATATCCTTTGTAACATTCTTAATATCACTAGCTATTTTTCCTACATAGCATCAGCTTTCTCATGCACAATCAAAATCATAAAATCTTGAATCTTACTCTAAAAAAAAAATTGTTAGTGCTCTTTAAATACCCCATCTAATCCTAGGACAATAGTTTTGTAATATCCCAACCTTACCTAGACAAAAGACGAAGAGGCTGAAGGAGACGTCACTTGGTGTCGCAGAAGTCGAATGGTAGAAGACAAAAGGGACGAACAATGTGAATCAGTGTTGTTTCCCATCGCTTGGAATCACATATGCCGAATGAGCAAGCCGTTAAGATGAAGAGCTTATAGACAGAGCAAAAGGGGGTTTTCTCCCTATAAATTGAGAGGAGTCGAGGAAGATCGTGTTTTAGCAGCAGTCCTAGAAGAGGCTAACGGCGAGCAAGGAATCAAGTGCGAGCTTGACGAGAGAGAGAAGGTACGCTCGGGAAAAGGTAAGCAATTTTGTTAAATAAACCTAATATTTATTCATGAAATTTTTAAAATAATTATATATGAAATTACTGATAATAAATCTGAAATTTTAAATAGGTAATATCTTAAGAATAAATTCATAATTATAAATTAGAAAATATTTCTATATTTTATAAGTTAAAAGAGGGTAATTTCAAGATAAATTATTATGAAAATGAATTTTAATTAATAATGTTAATTATTTGGTGAGAGAGAAAATAAATTTTAAATTAAAAGATATTTTAATGAAAAGTGATTATTTATAAATTAATTATGATATGCTTTATAATTAAATAAAAGAAGGAAAGTTTATTTAGTAAAAATAAATTTTATTTCAAATAATAATAATAACTAAATATAGATATTCATTTAAATAAATATAGAACTCCAAGTGAAGGATTGATTGAGTGTAATGACTGCAACCCTCGAAGAATTTGAACAAGGATTCAATCTATAGTGATGACCTACTCCTAGAGAAAAGTTTTCATTGCCGCAAAGGCATCTAAATTCCCATAAAGTCTACTTCTATTGTTATTGCTTGTTGTTTAATAAACTTGTTTTGTTTCATTATAGAACTCATTTTATTTTGCAAACATCAAAAATAAATAAATAATAATATATTTATGTGTAACCAATGATTCATGCTAATCCACAAATACCTATTCATATCACCATCCATTAATCTAGTTTAATCAATTGATGAAGAACTATTTGCGTATATTAACATTAAATCCGTGTTGTCATACTTCACAACTACATATATTAAGTCAACAATAATCCATCCCATATTTTAGTTAGCATTTACACTATGTAAGAGCCATAACACTATAAATAATCTATCAGTTGGTACAAAATGATTAAGATTGTTTGCTACATGTTTAAGATAATGTCTAATAGCCTAAAAATCCTCTTAAATGATGTAACACTATTACCAATTTAAGGCCTCTTCAAGCCTCTAATACTTATTGTGTTTAATCTACAAGTGGAGTTCATGTAGATAAAGGTAAGTCATCTTTCAATCAATGGTGCTTCCTACCAAAACACTAAATTTTCTGGCAATATATAGATATCATCTACCAAATTTCATAATTTTTCAAATGGGATGCATTCATAATCCTTTAGGCTTCTCGATAGATTACAACAATTTTACTCCAAGGAGGAGAGTTATTCCCAGCCCCATAAAATGGATGGTGTATGCCATTTGATTGATAATGACTTAGATGAGATTTTATTTATTAATTTGGAATTTAAATTTATAGAATTATTATACTTATGCTTTAAAGGTAGTTTGGACGTTTTAGTTGAGGCTATTTATATAAATAGCCCATTCTGAATTGTATAATCCACATTATGATGATCATCCCGTATGTTCAATTCTTAGAATTCTTGCCTTGAGGATGGGCAACCAAACGATTTAAAGAATTAACATTAACTTGATGGTTAGTTGTTTTAATATATTTTCCTTTGTTTCTTACTATTTCCTATGTTTTCTATAATTTCCTAGCATATCTTGCATGTTCCACCACTATGAGAGATGGATAAAGGATCCTTGTGAAGTGGCATTCAACGATAAAGAGGCAACAGTTAAATAGCAACTCAGGCTAAGAGCTATCTCCATCCTACAAGCTCCCAAACCTCTTCATGAGAGTTGATGTTTATAAATGGGGAGAGACTTCCCCTTTATTTCTTAGATAATGTGGGACAAAAGTTCTTTGAATGGTGTGAAGGAGGTTGCTCCAAGCTTTGGCAAAAGACAGAATGTTTGGGGCATGGACCCATGAATTAGGTTGACCCTAAAGTAGGGTCTAGGCAACATGCGACCAACGAATAATTACAAAATGTCATATTCCAATTTTTGTTTAACAAGGATGAATAACTATACATAAGATGTGCATAATCATGCACTTACTTCACATTTTTTATATAAAACTTTGATTTTTAGTTTTTTGGCCTATTTACCGAACATGGAAAAATGCCTTGACTTAAATTAAACCCCATCCTAGTGCAAAATACTCCAAGGACATAAACTGTGGATCCCCTCTTAGGACTGATAAGAAGTTGACCGATCTGAATCCTCAGCAAAATCATATATCATAGCTTGCGTATTTGTGTGGGTACCAACATGGATCTGACATTTTATCTATTTCAAGTGGGGTGTGTGGTCCTGTTAAACCCAATAATTCTTTCAATAAAACAACTCAGAAATAAATCGACATAAAAATAAGGAAAATATTTCCTATTGGTCTGCTTTAGTGTATGTCAATAGAATGGTATCTATATGATTAGTTTCTTTTGGCTAATTAAAGTTCAGATTGTGAAACACATCATTCATAGATAAAAAAAAAATCAGTAATGATGCAACACAATTTAATTAAAAAAATGTATGAAAGTTGGAAGAGAAAACCTGGATCTGTCCCTCAATGCCTGAGTGACTTGCTGCTGTGCAGTGCGTCTGACACCATCAATTGTCATCTAAATATTGAACAAGAAATGTATTCACCGGAAAATAATTAAAGCAGAACTTCATCAGCCATCATCTGAATTATAAATTCAATAAGGAATACCTGAACTGCAGCAGCGGTCTCCAAAGCTAAGGTCTGAGTAACAGCAGTATTGCTCTTGAAGAAAGAGATAATTTGATCAATGGAATCCTTCAGATACTGTAGAACCAAAGTAGCTTTTATAAACTGGAGGTAATTTACAACTACAACCATTTATAGATTAAAGTAACATACTGTCATGTAACAGGGAGAAGCTTTAGCAACAAAACTCCAATCTACTTCGGCATCAAAAGGCTTGTAGGTAAATACACCAACGAAAGAATCAGCAGTATATGCACTCTGGCAGAAAGTTGACGAGTGGAGTTCTAAATAAGTTTCTATGTCAAAAGAATGAGATCACTCCACAAGAAATAAATCAATGTACATGAATCACTCAAACCTCAGCAAGGAGACCATTTGGAGATAAGAGCCTGTAAGATTCCAACTTGAAATCGAAAACCTTTGTCTCTGAATAAGTTTTCAGTGAGCAGGCCAGTCCCTCACACGATAAGTCAGCAAGGCATTCCTGACCATCAGCAATGAGCTTTGATGCATTGTGTTTCATGTGAATCTCCATAAACAATTGAGGCAAGTCCGTCTCCTGACTAGTCACCAAATTTTCATCAGAGCCATCCTTGTACCCGATTATCTTATTCAGCCTCTCCCAGTCTTCATCAGTGAAACCTTTTGAGCCACTATCATCCTTTCCAGAAGCACTCCTGGTTTAAAATAAATGAATAAATAAAGGTGATTCTTCTTTATGTATGACACTGTGCATTATTTAAGATAGTGTGACCAGGGTCAATATTTCAACTATATAATCACTGGCCATCTTATATTCATATCAACGTTCGGAGATTCAAAAGTCAATAATAACTAAGTTGAAGGTGATAAAAATAAGTTAGTTGAGGTGGATGTATGAAAAAAGTGGTAAGGATAAATAAGAAATGATTGGAGAAATGGCCGTAAGGGGTTTGGGTATATATATATATATAATAGAAGATAAAATAATCAAAAATAAAATGTCTATTAACTAAAAGATAAAGATAATGATGAAAATGATGATAAGAATATTAACCATCCAAACGACCACCAAGATTGCTTCACTTTCTTTTTATTCTGATAAACATCAGATTCTACAGACTGCTCCACAAACTTGTGTGCCAGCATCCTGCATGATTAACAGATCAGCCATCAATGAAAGAATTTTCAGCAGAATCAGTTTTATTCTCTTGGGCATAAAAATGGATAGTAATTATAACCAAAATAAAATTATGAAAGGGCCATTTTCTAACATTTGAAGTAACACGTCGCCTTTTATCACAATCAAAGGACCATTTTTCATTTCATGTCTGCTAATTGCCTAACAAGTTTCAGTTGTGCTCAAGCAATTCCTTACCAATTCTAATGTTTGAGTTCAAGTAATTATTTATCATTTTATGGAGTGTGGCATAACGGCTACAATATGATCTTCAATCTAATTCATTAATTATTCTTCAACACCGCCTTTGGATGAATCAAAGAAGCTCTTAAAATTTGGATTGAACGATTGGCATTGGTATCAATTGATCCTTTAAATGGATCATCAGTGAGTATTTCACCAATACTATTTGCATGGAAGATGGATAATTAAATAGGACTTGACATCATCTTTTAGCTCTCAATACTAGGGTTATCATTTTACTGATTGTGGTTTAAAAGCTTTAGGTAGCATTTCCCCCATCGTTTCCCTAGCATTTTTTACTTCTAGTTTGTTGCCCAATCCTAAGCATCATATTTTGATGCATTCAATATTTTTAGTTTATTTTGTTTTAATGTATTTTGAACAATATCAGTTGTGTTTTATGTTTTTTTAAGCTATCCTATGATGGTTGAGCATCCAATGATCATGGTAGGAATGTGCTAGGCATGGCAAACCTTGGATTTGCTGGCTTTTGGGTCCTCTTCGTCCTTGGGTTGCTTGTTGATTTCTGTTTTGGTGTGGTGGCTGCTCTCGGGTGGGCCTTGGTAACTTGGTGTTGAGCTAAAAAATGATGGATTCTACTTGGTGTTAGCTCATAAATAATTGGGGATTTATTGCACTTCCTAGCTCATTATTTCAAAAAGGTATGCTATTATGTCTTGGATTCATTTTGGAGTGGACTTTGCCCCTTCTCCTCCCTTTGTCTCTTCAGTTTCCTCTTGCCTTTTGTTGTTCTCATGGCCCCTAGCTGTTTTCTTGTGCTGCCGTTCCGTTCTCCGTGTTGGCTCCTCGGGTCCCTTGCTGGTTGGGTTTCTGGTGGCTGCCTGCTTGGTTTCCCGTGGCCTTCTTTTCTCTGTTTTCTGTACCGGGTTGGGGCTGTTGTGTTGTGGTTGTTGGCCTTTGATTTCCCTAAATCTAATTGGTTTGGTTGGAGGTGTTATGGCTATTTGGTTCCTCTCTTTTGCCTATAAAATGGAGATGTTTTGACATGAAAAATGTTGTTGAAATCTGAGAAAAAATCTCTAAAAAACTTGAGGGTTTCTTCTTGGAAAAGCTTGAGAGCTTGTTCTATCCCCTTCTTCTCTTCTCTATTTCTTCTTGGCTTCTAACCTCTCCTTCTCTACGCAAGTTCCACTTCATCTGTATCCTTCTTCTTGAGCTTTGAAAGTGTATGTTGGTTGAAATTTGGAGACATTTGCCGGAGGAGTTTGTAAGAAACGTTGGACTCTTTTGCAGTGGTGGACCCTTGGTTTGCAAGCCTAAGCACAATTTTCTTAAATTTCCTACTTTCATTGCATGTGAGGAGACCGCTAGACGGTTATACTGAGGATAGCGTTTTTATATTTTTATTTTGTTTAATTCGATTTGGCTTTTGTTTCTCCTAAGTTTGTTTGGATATTTGCAAGCTAAATTTGAATCGAGTTTGGTTTAAGTCTTGTCCTGGTGTTCTCCAATTTGTCTCTTTACTCTAGTTTTGCTTGCATCAAACTTGGTATCAGAGCAAGTTAGGAAATCCTTGGTTTGTGAGTCCTTTGTCTCTTTGATTTTTAAGATGGCTAATAATCCAGGGGAATGGCATAATGTATGCAACAATTAGCGGATTTGCAAAATCAAATGAAAGAAATGGCTAATACCCTTGCTAATCTTAATGTTAATCAACAACATGTTCAAACATCTGAAAGCGAACAAAGACCCTAGGAATCAAAATAGGCGACAACGAAACTGGTATTTTGGAATTAAAATTGAAGTTCAAAACTTTGAGAGTAAGTTGCAACCTGATCTATTTCTCAAATGGCTTTAGAAAATGAATCAATTTTTTGATTGAAAAGAAATTCCTGAAAATCGAAAGGTGAAATTTACAAGCTTAAAATTAAATGGTCATGCTCTTACATTGTGGAAAAATTTGCAAAACAATAGACTTAGGCGTGGTAAAGAAAAAATTCAAAACTGGGAACGGATGAAAGAAAAAATAAGAGTACAATTTTTATCGACTGATCACGCACGAACTCTATTTCAAGAATTCAATGATTTGCGACAAGGAACTCAAAATGTGGAAGAATATATGGAACTGTTTTACAAACTTCAATCAAGAAATGATTTAGACGAATCTGAAGAGAAAACTGTTTCAAGATACATTAACGGTCATAAATGGACAATTCATGATCAACTGAACTTGCATCATGTAATAAAAGTTGACGAGGCATATCGAATGGCATTAAAAATTGAAAAACAACATCAATGAGAAAGAGGTCATAAAAAGATAACGGAAACTTATAAGCGGCGACCAACTGGCGGGATTAAGAGTCAAACTCAAACTTCTGTAGGAACATCGGGTACTAAAGCTAAACTTTTTGAAAATCAAAATGTGGATAAAGGAAAGGGAATTATGGGTGCTAAGCCTCCTGAACAACCTAAATTAATCGGACAATGCTACAAATGTGGGCTTTATGGCCATCTTTCTGCAACTTGTAGAAAAAACAACCCGCCAAGAACTAACTTCATTGAAAACAACGAACAAGTAGAGGAACAGGAAGAAAAAGAATCTGAAAATGAAAATGACATAGAATTAGAGAAAATTGATGTTGAGGGGGATGAAGGAGAAGAACTTTTGGTAATCCGACAAGTCTTAACAACAAAAATTTATAACGGGGACAAGTGGCATAGAAGAAACATTTTCAAAATAACTTGTACAGTTGGAGGGAAAATCTGCACTCTTATGATAGATAGTGGATGTTCAAGAAATTTTGTATCTCAATTGATGGTCGATAAGCTGAAATTAAAGTCCAAACCGCTTGCTAAACCTTATAAAATTTCTTCGTTTAAAGGAGGTGAGGTTCCTATCACAAAGCAATTTGTTGTTAACTTAACAATTGGGGGGTCTTTTAAAGATCAAGTGACTTGTGATGTTGTGCCTCTTGAAGTTTGTCACATTCTGTTGGGATGACCTTGGCAATTTGATAACAAAACTATTCACAACGAGGAGAAAAACACTTACTATTTGATTCAAAACAATAAGGAATTCACTCTCTATCCGCAAAAACATGTGCCTGATTCACCTGCTAAAAATAACAAAGTTGTCAAATTAAGTACTCCTGAATTGCTTTTGAATACGAATAATTTGAAACACTCTGATGTGGTTTACTTGGTTTTGGAAAAAGAAATTGATTATGTGCTTCAAATTCCTACTTAAATTCGATCTTTAATCGATGAGTTTTCTGATTTAACTCTTGAAAATTGCTTGTAAGTTTGCCACCGATGAGAGATATTCAACACATTGATTTAATTCCTGGAGCAACATTGCCTAATTTACATAATTATAGGATGAGTCCAAATGAACATGCTGAACTTTTTAAGCAAGTGACTAATTTGCTAGAAAATGGTTTGATTAAAGAAAGCTTAAGTCCTTGTGATGTGCCTGCTTTATTGATGTTATGCAAGGGGTGTAAGAGTCATTTGTAAGAGTCATTTGAGTCGTTTGTAAGTGTCCAAGTTGTAATAGTTTTTATAATATTAAAATTGTGTTTTGTTTTGTTTAATTTGTCTAATTATTATAAGTTTTGTAATGTTCTATTTCCTAGTAAGGTCTAGTTTTTTTGTGATCAAAAATTTGGGTCCCTCCCCCAAATTTTTGATTGCATCATTTATTAACTCCAAAAAAAGATGGTATGTGGAGAATGTGTGTGGATAGTAGGGCGATAAATAAAATCACTATTAAATATCGCTTTTCTATTCCTAAATTGGATGACATGCTAGATATGCTAAGCGGTGCAAAAATCTTTTCTAAAATTGATTTGAGAAGTGGGTATCATCAAATAAGAATAATATCTGGAGATGAATGAAAAACTGCTTTTAAAACAAAAGAGAGTTTGTATGAATGGCTTGTAATGCCATTTGGGCTTTCAAATGCTCCAAGCACTTTTATGAGAACTATGAATCATATTTTGAGACCTTTTATGGCAAGTTTGTTGTTGTATATTTTGATCTATAGTGTTCAATATTTTGAGCATCTTATTCATGTGAGACACGTGTTGCAAACTCTAAGGGAACAAAAGATGTATATCAATCTTAAAAAATGTTCCTTTATGACTTCGAGCTTAACATTTTTGGGTTTATTGTTTCTGCCGAGGGCATAAAAGTTGATCCAATAAAAATAGAGGCAATTCAAAATTGGCCCACTCCTAAAAGCATAAGTGAGGTGAGAGGATTTCATGGTTTTGCTTCTTTTTATCGAAGGTTTATTAGAAATTTTAGTTCTCTGATTGCTCCTATTACTGATTGTTTAAAAAAGGGGTGTTTAAGTGGACACCTCAAGCTGAACAAACTTTTGAAATCATTAAGAAAAAAATGAGTTAATCTCCCATTCTTAGTTTGCCAAACTTTGAAAACATTTTTGAAGTTGATTTTGATGCTTCATATATTACTGATTTGTTCTTTAAAGAAATTGTTCGTTTTCATGGTGTTCCTCGCACTTTTACTTCTGATAGAGATACTAGATTTTTTAGTCATTTTTGGAGAACACTTTAGGCAAAATTAAGAACTCCTCTTCAGCTCAGCAGTGCTTATCATCCACAAACTGACGGGCAAACTGAAGTTGTAAATCGAAGTTTGGGAAACTTGTTGAGGTGCCTGGCAGGTGAGAAACCATCCCAATGAGATTTGATTTTTCCCCAAGCTGAATTTGCTTACAATAATTATGTCAATCGCTCTAC